AAAATAATAATGATTTTCTTCGGGACCCAGTGGTCTTAGAGTTACCTCTATGGTGATATTGCGAGCGCATGAGAGCGGAAAAATATCAATTGATTTTTGATTTTGTCAACACTGGAAATAATAATCAACGTTTTGTTTATACAAGTTGATAGTACCATAGAGGTAACTCTAAGACAAGTAGGTCCCGAAGAAACGTGCTCAACTTTTTGGCTCACCTCTGGTACTATCTTCGGTCCCAAGCTTGTCGAATCACCCCTCGAAACATAGGAAAAACCAATAACCCCTCATTTTATCTGTCAAAATTTCATAGCGAATCAAAACAAACATTGCGTAGTACTAGAATTTCGACTAGAATAGGGTACGTTAATCGTTTGCTTGGCACCAATAGACTACTAAAGTGTTGAGCCAATTTAAAATCGTTAGTTTCGTATTGATTGTTGATAGTACCTTTTCAACTGAGGGTCTAAAATATATTGAATTGGTTCCGCTTTTTGATAGATCGAAATTCTATATGTTATTATTCCATAATTTCATAAAACATGTTTAAAGTCAAAATGAATGGAAGTCACCCTGGTTTCTGGTAATGACATCAAAAATCGCTATATACAGATAGATAATTGCCCTGTCGATCATCAGATTCAGCTAACAAACAGGAATTTTGCCGAGATCTCAGCTAACAAACATAAATTAAGCTGAATCTCAGCAAATTTTTCACTGAGATCCAGTAAAATAAAATACCGAGCTGCTCGGTGGTGCCCATCTCGGCAAAAAATCTAAGTATGTACTCATCGATATCCAAAAAATGGAACAGTAATTGATAGAGACTAAGCATGATACAGGTAAATTGAGAAACTTCACCTAAAGAAAAAAATCACCATTCTAACGCCATTACATAATTGTATATAGAGCTGAACTGCTTTTGTAAACAATGACTTCTCTCGATGATTTCTAGAAACTCAATGCTCGCCCAAGCAAATCAATATCACCATCAGGTAGGGGAAGTCTTCCCTTACCCGATGGTTAGGTTGATTTGCGTGGATGCGCCTTGAATTCCTAGAAATAATCGAGATAAGTCATTGTTTACAAAAGCTGTTAGGCCCTAATTCCAGCTCTATCTAGATATGCGATTTTGTGATAGCTCACTTACCGAAGAAGAATCCATGTCAATGACGGAGTCCTGAATTAAGCCTGACAAAATCTAATCAGTATTAAAAAATTATAAATTTGACTACGGATTTCCGGATAAACTGACGCGATTGGTCAAGGCGACGACGAGGGCGCCGATGGATCGAGTGATGTGCGTTGTTCGAGTATCGGGGACACTCTCAAGTCCTTTTGAATCTGGAAGGAGCTTACAGCATGGTGATGGACTTTCGTGTCGGCTATTTAACATCGCGTTAGAAGGTGTGATCAGAAGAACTGGCATAGACACGAGTGGCACGATCTTCAGGAAGTCCATACTGCTTCTTGGCTTCACCGATGACATCGACATTATGGCACGGAACTTTGAGACGATGGCGGAAACGTACATCAGACTGAAGCTAGGCGGATTGGTCTTGCCATCAACGCATCGATGACAAAATAGCCTCCCACCACGAGCTCAGATTGACGGTGACGAAATCGAGATGGTCAACGAGTTCGTGTATTTGGACTCACTGGTGACCGCCAAAAATGATGCCAGCAGAGAAATTCCAATACGTGTTATGGCAGAGAATCGCGCCTACTTTAGACTCCAGAGGACGCTCCGGTCGATTAAAGTTCGCCGCCGCATGAAGCTGACTATCTCCAAGACGTTGATTAGACCGGTGGTCCGCTATGGCCACGAGACCTGGACTATGCTCGTGAAGGTGTTGCGTACCGTCTACGGCGGAGTGCAGGTAGATGACCAGTGGCGTTTCCTTAGCCTCAATCTACCTGGTCTAAGATTTTGTGACAAGCAATGCATTAGGTATCCAGCTTTCCATGCTCGGTAATGGCGGCCTGTTTGTATGAATAAATGTATCCTTCACTGTGCTTTTTGACACTATCTGGATGTTCGGGTTTTGACCCCTCCTTTTCCCTCTCCCAGGAACAGAAGAAAATGGAACAACATACGCCCTCCAGTTAGTGTCAAAAAGCACAGTGAAGGATACATTTATTCATACAAACAGGCCGCCATTACCGAGCATGGAAAGCTGGATAGGAAAAACGGGGGGGGGGGGGGTAAATTTCTCCTCGATTTAGCGTGACATAATGCATGGGCCCTAACGTAAGAACTACACGACACTCACAAGACGCGACGCGAGACAAGACACAATACTTATCGTTCTTACAACGTTATAATAAATTAAAATTTACCTTTCTGAGAATTTTGAATGGGTACGAAAAGGAGTTCTTGAACAAAATTCTCCGAAAACACAAACGAAAGAAGCACCGACAAAATATAACCACACTATAGAACCGGTGGGAGAAGAAGTAAAAAGAATCAGTCTGCCGTTCTATCCCAAAATCACAAACCCAATCAAATCCACACTCAAGCGACAAAGACTTCAGGTAGTACACAAGAGCGACTACACTTTGCGTGACTTGTTGTGTAACCTGAAGGATAAGGTTCCACCGGATGAACAGTCTGGAATTTATCAAATTCCCTGCAAGGACTATCCTTCGGTCTATATCGGACAAACGCGCCGCAAAGTAAAAGTCCGCTTAAAGGAACATAAACACGCTGTAGACAACAAAAAACCCAATGAATCAGCCGTTGCGGTACACACAATTAGCTTAGACCATAACATTCCTCCCTATTCTGCGAGTCACGTGACTCTCTCTCACCGGTGAGGTGACAATAGTCACCTCGTGTGAGGTGACTCTCCATTTGATTTACATGGAGAGTCACCTCACACGAGGTGACAATTGTCACCTCACCGGTGACAGAGAGTCACGTGACTCGCAGAATAAGGGGGATTGACTGGGAAGGTGCAAAAATCATCAAAACCGTCAGAAAAGCTTCACATCTAAACGCATGGGAATCATCATTTATCACCAATACTGCTGAACCATTGATGAATGAAGATGACCCCCCATTATATCCTGCCTTTTCAAGCTGACAAATCTGAGAATCCAGTAGCTTCTCTTCTCTTCTTATTGGACGTGTACGGAACAACGTATGAACACAAACGAAGTGACAGACGGAGCGGCTCGAAAACTTTGGTGACTAACCTTCTATTGCAATTTTTCAGTGTACCACATGGCAACACCACTACTACTGGATTGTACCACATGGCAACACTACTATTGGATTGCACTAGCATTTTCACCAAATGTACTAGAATATTTTGGTTCTATCTCTTTCACTCTACTCAAAACTGAAATGCATAAAAAAATGACAAAATGATACGCACTTTTTGCACACTGTCAAAGAATCATTGTACACAAAATCAACTTTGTTCAAATCAAAACAAAAAAACTAACCCATCTGGTTGATGATGGCACAAGCTTCCAAGAAAATTCTATTACAGTGAACCACATTATTTAAATGGATTTCTTCGCCAGTAAGTCGTCTGTCACTTCGTTTGTGGTATGAACATCCTGAGTAATCAGTCGGACATTGTCCCGTAGATGGGCAACATCACGCCCGAAACCGGTCGACAGAAAAGTAATTTTTAATTTATTTTAACGTTGTAAGAACGATAAGTGTTGTGTCTTGTCTCGCGTCGCGTCTGGTGAGTGAATTGAACCAGCTGCTGGGAGAACCATCCACATTTAAAAATTGAGCGACTACGGAAGGCTAGGCCGGAATGCCGGAATGCCGGATGACGACCCATTGAAAATGGTTCTCAAAAGCGACCTCAAAAGGAACAAGAAGAAGAGGCACGCAGCGGGAAAGTTGTATCGACCAAGTAGAAGGCGACCTGCGGACCCTTCGCAGACTACGAGGCGACGTGTGGCCAACCGGTCCGCACTCGTGTTTATTTCGGTTACCATGGGGACGTAATTTGTGATTAGCCCCGGTCCCTTTCAAGTTGTATCATTATTTATGTACGGCCTTAAATTTGAAATTGCGTTTCACATTCATCTAGTGATGGCTGATTTTCATTCGAATAATCGATTAATCGATTAACGAACCGAAAAGTGAAATATTTGTAATCGGTTATATCATGCTGATATAAGCATTAACTTCTCCAGAGGATCATCACCCATCGTTTCAAACATATGCTGCACTTTCATTGGTGGAAAAATGACAGCACAGCGAACAAAACATAATCGATTAGATGTTAATCGAATAATTAAAAAATGGGACATCTCTGATTTTGGTGTGACTGTTTTGATAAAAAATAGCGCAAAATTAACCACTTCATTCGAGCAGATAAAATGACGTTTACTACCACTCGAACTTTGAAATGAAACATTATTTTGAGATTTTTTCTTCTAGAACCTCGAGAAAAGTAGCCAACATTTGTGCGTTTCATAAAAAAAATAGAAATTAGTTGGTCCAGTTTTGTAAAATCGCTGGTAGAAAGTCACGCCAAAACTGCTTGACAAAGTGGTCAATTGGCGTTGACGGCGACTCTGTAGCTCTTTACTTATCTTATGGCGGACTTTGTACTATCCTTTCACTTCACCGAAAATTCCCATAAGAAACTGTCTAAATTTGCTAGAAGAGCAAATTTTTCGACGGTGCCGTCAACGCCAATTCCATCTCTACCGAGGGGGTAGCAAAGCCACAAAATTACCTTGCATACGGGGGTATTCATTGGATGAAAGGGACCGTGAAAGAGGACACTAAAATATAAAGTTTTTGTTCCAACTGTTTCATCTTATCTTAGTATTCTTCTTTGGTGCGGCCATGGATGTGGAGTGGAGACAACTTCTTCAAACAGCAGAGGACATCAAGCCTGATTGGATGGATGGATGAAGATTGAATTAATAAAACGGCTTTTACTTACTTACATGTCTTGATTGATATATTTGCCAAAATTTAAAATTAACAATACAAAAAAATTACACACTCCGGTGGTGTAGTGGTAAGCGTAATTGCCTCTCACCCCAAAAGGCCTGGGTTCAATCCCAGTCGGCGCCACCGGGATTTTCTAAGGCATAAAATCTCTGATCACACCTTTCTTTGGAAGGGAAGTAAAGCCGTTGGTCCCCGTTGCATGAGTTGATGGGTCGATAGGTAGGGTCCAGGTGTGGGAGCTGCCTCCCCTACGTCGGTTGCATTGGTACTCCAGTACGGAAAACTAAAGAGACTGAATTGGGTAAAGAGACGACATCTTATCCATTTGATAGGTCTTCTTATCGATTGGAATAACACTTTTCCTATGACTTTGACAGATAATCGGAATTGTTCCAATTTTGACATGCCGCCTCTTTATTAATTCAGCCTCTTTACGGAAAACAAGATCGACGGAAAATATGGACCAACAGGTCTGTGCCATAAAAAAGGAGAAGATCGACGGAAAACAAACCAAGGGGATAAAATACACACAATAGTGCAATAGCAAACATGAAAACTGGTAAAATCAAGGGTGAGCATCTGGCAAATAGGGGAAATGGCTCTAATGTTGGCCTATGGATCTAAGATTGGGCCCATCGCTAAAAATCTGCTATTTGTCAATTTTATCTAGATGAACGCGTCATTAGGACGGTACTTATGGATATTTTTTACCGCTGTCGAACATTTCGTCGATTGCTGAATTTATGTATTGGCCTAAATTAGAGGCATTTTGGCCGACATTACATCAATTTCCCCTACATAGGAATAAATTTATTGGGACGATTTTCCGACAATATAAACAGTATGCTTGCTTTCGTTTCGCCAACAGAGCTAATGGGAACTTATTTGATTTGCATTTTACATTCAGAGTTGCTTAGTAGCATTATATTCATCATTTCATATACTAAATCCTGTTCTTAAATATTCGGAAAAGCAGTTGTTAATGAATCCGTAAACTTAATGTTTTTTCCAAAACATTTATTTATGGAAAATACGGTTCGAACGAAAACGAAAATATGGGCGAATATTTAGTTGCAAGTTGTGAATTAGTGGATTTCAATACCGAAGAATGCGAGTCTGTTCCTTCCAGTACCACTTTAATATTGCTAGTTAAAAAAAAAACTCTTAACTGAATATGACAACCGATGTCTACTAATTGCATGCACTCTTACTGCCGTTCGACGTTGCGGTAGCCACTGACAGATATTTTTTTCCGAACATTCGCCATAAGTTCAAATCATATCACTACTACGAGTACCTATTCCACCAGCTTCTAACCTTCTTAATAGCAAGTAAAGTCTGCGTATCAGTTATAAACCAAAATTTATTGACCTGGAATTGAATGAATCACACATCGATCATGTTTCCAATTGTTCACTAAGAATGTTAAACGTGGTGAAACAATAACTTACATTGTAATTACTATTTAACATCAGTTGCATGTGTCATCCTCTACCCCTAACTCAGCCGGGGGCGTTGGTTAAGTAGAATAGTAGAACCGTAGAGTAGTTTTAGAACTGAACATTCCCGAGACATGTTATTAGAATTCAGAAATGGTTTTAATGATTTTCAGTTTTTCTGTGGTACACGAGGTGATCGCATGTTGAGAAATCCTTTTTACACACCTTACACCAGTATTTGTCCCGTACAATTTGACGTTTGTGGCGCTCCAACCCCTCCGCTGAGGTAAATCTAGTTCTACAATGTTGACATGCATGACTTAACTCCTTATGAACCTTCGCGTGACGATTCATGTTGGTGCGAGTTCTGAACATAAGGCCACAATCTTTACATTTGAATGGCTTTTCCTGCGTGTGAATTCGGATGTGATTTTTCAAGTCGATAGGATATTTGAACCCGCTACCACATTCTTTGCAAAAATATTTTCTTTGTAACTTGTGTCTGTAAATGTGCGTCCTGAGTAAAGACATCTTAGCGAATGCTTTCGGGCACAATTCGCATTGATATGTTTCATTGTGGGTCAACATATGCTCATCAATATCATTAAAGTACATTTTGCATATTCTGCAGCGTTCATTCTTCCTTTTCTTTCTGCTTGCATTATTGCCGCGTTTGGGCTGTATTGATTCATCTTTATCAGTCTCGTTCAACAGTTTAACATGATCCTGTTCCTCGCCGGTGGGCTTTTGGATAATGCTAGTTTTGCCAACTTCTTCAACGTTCTGGTATTTTATGTTAGCGCTAGAATTGAATGGCAGAACAGGATCAATCATACGGTTGTCATTTTCAGCAGAATCCTTTATTTCACGTTCTGCTGGAACTTGCTGCGGATCTGATCTTTTAGTTGTCTGACCATTTTGGAGAAACATCTCATTGAATACACAATCATTAGTGCGGCACATTTCAATGAACGATTCGAAATCTTCTAAAGTGGCCTTGCATTCGAAACATAACGAAGCTGGAGCGTTTGGAGCATCAACGATCTGAAGCAAAATATTGCGATAAATTCAATTATCTATTCATACTTATAGCGAATTCGTGTTTGATTCAGTTTTAATCCGGGTGAACCCGAGCTAAGTGCCTCAGTTCAAGCCAGGTTACAAAATTAAACGATTAAGAGGATGATGGGCACCTATTTTGATTCCCGCGATTCAGGTTGAAAGTGAATCAAATGTAATTCAGTTTTATAAATACCTCCAGTTCAGGTGTTTACAAACCTTCAATGATATTAGACTGCCAATCCATTCATCTAGAGATGGGTAGTCGCTTCCGAAAATTGGTTGATGTTGTTCTCGTTCCATGAAGCATAAGCGGCAAATCGATCTGGAAGATTTTCCTTTTCTTATCACTATCATTGTGGCCATTATGATGGGTTGTTATTTGGATATAATATTCAATATTAATCACAAAAATTGTAATTTTAATCACGAAAGAAAATATCGTGATGCTTTGTACACCTTCGAATAATAGACACTCAGCAAAAAACAATAAAGAATGGTGAGTTCCTACACTGTACCAAAAAATCATCCTGTGTTCGAATGAAACCTCAGACCATTCAAATCGACAGAGTTGATAAGAAGAGTTCTGGAGTCCTTTTTGATTGGGTCGTATGTAACATTTATGTCAATTAGAGAGACGAGGTGTTTTGTTTTGGTGAACAAAACATTGTTTCTATTTTCAATGAGAAGGATAATTCTTTCAAAATTCCCATTAACTAACATCTCAGAAGTGTTGCTATCAACTGAGTAAGGTATTGATAGCGTTTCTGTTGAAAATCAAACGTTTTTTAACCAATCAATATTATACGACCTTTTGCATGCTCTGTTTTTACATTCGACCATGCGCTTTTTAGCGGTTTAAAAATGTATTATTATGAGTAATTATTCACAAAAAACTTAGTTATCGTTTTATAGACCACCCACAACCACTTAACATTGAATATTTGCAAAATTTGCACTTTTATTAGGAAAAAACAACAGGTCTTATGTACAGTTTTTACGCTTCTGTCAAATATGTTACATACGACGATTGACAATCCCATAGAAGTTAGGTGTCGTATGTAAAATTGAGCTATGTTTTGGTCTGTTGGTACACACAAAGAAAAATCGTTGCTAAAATTTAAAAAAAACCATTGGTAGAAATAAAAGTTTGCATTGGTTCTTTTTGGTAGAAAGCGGTTAGCTTTCAAAATGAAAGTCAATACATTATCAAATCAAAAGTTTCCCGATTACTACTTTTAAAAGTTTCAACTTTCAAACTGAATTGTACTAATGTCAAATGAAAAGCATGACAGTGTTAAAATTAAAACCAAATTATTTTCAACCTTTTGAAATTAAATGTTGTATTAGTATTGTTAAAAATAAACGTTTTCAGTTTAAAAACCAGTGTTTTCAATGTAATAACATCGTTTTTCATTTCAAAATCTATTAAAATTTGATTGGTGAGGAAGTATAAATATAAAATTTAAATAAAAAATGTATTTACTCGATATAACAATAACAATAAATTCATTAGGTATGTCTTCTCTTCCCGATACCAAGATGAACTGATGCTGAACTTGTTCAGCCATTTTTACTCCTCCGATCCACATGAGGGGAACACCGGAACAGACATTGAGGATGGTGTAACGGAATCGGTAACGGGCATTTGGTGTGACATCAATCACATCAGTCCGATGAGATCAAAATCGTAAAAATCCGGAGCCCGATATCCGTCAAACTCCGCTATATTTGTCAGCAAATCCATCGATAGCTTCTAGGAGGATCAGAACTGATGCGAACCGTCTTCGGAAGCAGCATTCTGGTTCCGGTACTGCAAAAGTTAAACGAATGAAAACCATCATCGAACCATTTCCAAAACTTCTCACCTTGGTGATTTCCTCCTGAATTGCTTGGACTGTTTCCCTCGGTCTGCCGTGATAATTGCCTTCAATCCGTCGAAAATAAGCTAGCGGAGGCATGCCAGAAACGCGATTCCGGGGGTTGAAAGAAACCGGTGAAAGTAAAGTGTGGGAATCTGCTTGTTTTGAGTCGAATTTGGCGGTAAACAGAAGTCCAGTGCTTCCAACAACTTTGCTCTGACGAAGTATTTTTGATAGTACTACAACTTTTATTTAAAAAAAAATGCACTTTTACAAGTCGAAATTGGAAGAAACACTTTTAAATCAAAAAATCAATTTTCATTTTGAATATTTTCTCAGTTGAAACCTCGGTTGAAACTACGAATTTTGCGAAACTTTTAAATTGAAATTGCATTATTTTCATACCAACAATTTTTTCTTCTTTCTGTGTACATACGATGAATAGTTTTTTGACGATAAAATGAAACAGAATGATGTAGCGGGCGCAAGTTTTGCCTACAGTATGAGTAAGCAGAGTAGCAACAATCAATACGAAACTAACGATTTTAAATTGGCTCACCACTTTAGTAGCCTATTGGTCCTAAGCAAACGATTAACGTACCCTATTCTAGTCGAAATTCTAGTACTACGCAATGTTTGTTTTGATTCGCTATGAAAGTTTGACAGATAAAATGAGGGGTTATTGGTTTTTCCTATGTTTCGAGGGGTGAATCGATTAGCTTGGGACCGAAGAGAGTACCAGAGCTGTGCCAAAAAGTTGAGCACGTTTCTGCGGGACCTTCTAGTCTCAGAGTTACCTCTATGAGAGCTCGTATGAGAGTAGTGTCTGGTAGCATTAAAATGTCAATTTATTTAAATTTGTTACATACGACCCAATCAAAAAGGACTCCAGAGTTACGCAGAGTGAAGCTTGCAACACTGATGTCTATCAATGGACATTTTTTTTTTTATTATTTTGGCAACCTTTGTTTTTGTTAACACCTCGGATGACTTCACCTGGTTTGTGAAAGTTTCCTCTAGTTTCGTTTACAAGGGTTTATGCATATATTATGTCACGCTCTAAGGGGGGAGGGAGGAGGGTTTAAGATTTTGTGACAAGCAATGAATTAGGTATAGGAAAAACGTCACGATAGGGGGGGAGGGGTAATTTTTTGCTCAATTTAGCGTGACATAATTAACTCGATAATTAATGCATGGGCCCCAATACTTCCCATGCATCAGAGTCAGCTTGTCTACTATGCTCGATAGGTAGACGGTTTGACAGTTCGATAGGTAGATTTTGGTTTCAGTTTGTGTAACTTTTCTATTATCAACTCTGCAAATCGAAACAACTCGGGATTGGTGCAAAGATCACTGATACCCTTTTCCGAGGTGGATGACTCTATCTATGATGCAAAAAAGATTGTGTTTTGCTGTGGCTAGCTGCGCGCACGCTGAGTAGATAGAAAGAAGATTGATGACGATTCTGAAGATTTCCTGCAAAAAGATGATGAGCGATGCAAGTAGATGCGACAAATGAAAGAAGATTTTTCGAAGATTGGTTCGTTAGTGTGAGATTTGTTGAGCATCTTAACTTGAGATTTAGATGTGTCGCCCCCCTCGCCCTTTTCATCTAATGCTTCTCGTTCTTTATCGATACTTGGTGCGTTTAACCACAGACAAACAGACGTAACGCTTTGAAAAAGTTTTTCTTGAAAACATAGTACCTCAAAACATAGGTCCTCAGTAACGACATCTCTCTTGCTTCTCGCGGAAAATAAGCTTGCTCGCTAACTCGCAAACAATATTGCATAAAAGTTCTATAGAATGTATAGAAACGTCAAAGTGATCCGATGCCAGCGCTGCGGCGAGTAGTTCGCGGAACTGATAATATTCAAATCGACCGTTAAATGCGTGAACGAAGATACACAATGAAGAGTTACGTCTGTTTGTCTGTGGTTTAACTTTGATTGGTTGGATCGAGATGTGCCGCAAGAGGATGTTTTGTGATTATGTGCTGTTTTAAGTTGGAGAACTTTCTGTAACGCATTTTGCACCTACCTTCCATGCAGGTGAAATGCACGAGATTTTTATTAAAATCTTTTCTACACAGCAAAAAAATGTAATATTGATCAATGTAATTCAAGCTGATGTATGAAATAATGATGTAATAGCAAAAAGCATATACAATATTACATCAATGGATGTAATTTTGTTCGCAAAATCGATGTACATCGTACAACGTTATATTACACACCCGATGGCAGAAGTTTGGATGTAATATTCAACAATTTTTTTTTCTCTGTGTATGTGATCAAAAATAAATATTTTTATTTTAAGCATGCTTTTTATGTTTAAAATATACAAAAATATTTTGAAATTATTTTAGCAATTGACAGAATATTTAAAATGGATAGCAAATAAATGGAAATCGGCAGACAGGGCATCTAAATTGCTGCTATTTTTCGGTGCCATTAAGGGTGGTCTATGGATGTTGGGATCTGGCTCCGAGATCTGGGGGCCCGTCGGGGTGGGTGTCCGCCCTAATAAAAATTGTATGGTTAATTTGCTTAACGACGTGTTCTGGGTATCATCCAAACCATTTATGGAATAGTTCAATAATTTGGGTTATCGTTCGTTTATGGTTATTTTTTATTAGGGCGGGGGTTCCAGTTTAGTAAAACCGGTGAAATTTTGTGATATTAGCGTCGTTTTGTCGTTTATGACGCTGGTCCTCATACCGGCCTCTGTTTTTCCTTCGACGTCGGGTGGGGGTGAGGATGATATGGGGATCGGCATCAGAAACGACGGAGTGACGTTGATATTGTGGGGTTCCACCGGTTTTGTCGAGCTTGGAACACTTGCTGGCGTGGGTTTCCGGACCCTCTACTCTACTTCGCCGCTTGAATCCCGTTTTCGGTTGAGTTGGCTGAATGTAAACAACAAGGAAAAAAGGACACGCCAAAAATTGTTTCCACAGATTATGTATTGTTGAAATAAACCTAAATAAACATGCTTTTTAATTTAATTTAAACATACATATTTTTGTTGAACACATGTTTTCAAATTACTTTCAACTATTCCTATTTTTATATAATGAACATAGAGGAAATGGTTCTAATGTTGGCCTATGGATCTAAGATTGGGCCCATCGCTAAAAATCTGCTATTTATCAATTGTATCTAGATGAACGCGTCATTGGGACGGTACAAATCTCGATGAACATTTCAAATGGTCCTATCTGCTTTGATCGATTCTCTTCATAGACTTTCTCTTTTCATAACCGCTGCTATGCAAACAGATTTCGCGCTAATTCTACCACATAGTTTGATAAAGGAGGTTCTTATCTAGCGTCCAAAACGTCAAATACAACAGGGAAAGGTTTTGCAGCTGAGTTATTGACGAAAGAGAAAGTCGATGAAGAGAATCGATCAAAGCAGATAGGACCATTTGAAATGTTCATCGAGAATGTATATTTCAGGTTGCTATTGAAAATTTAGTCGATTGCTGAATTTATGTATGAACCCAAATTAGGGACACTATGGGTCTGGCGAAGTCGAATCGCAGCCAGCTTCAGACACTATCCAAAACGCATTGCAGCAAGCTTTACTCTGTTCGAACGGTTGTCAAATTGATAAACAAAGCAAATGTGTGCAAGATTGTGAGTGACTCTCTTGAAACATCGATTGGTAGTTGTAGTCTGTTGTAGTTCGTTGTTATTGTCGGTCGCGTTTGACACCGGAAAACCCCACACCCGACTTTCGATTTTACTCTCGTTCTGTACAACAACAAAGCGTCGGACATGGTGCGCATTATGGCGCATCATTGTACAAATACAGCGCACTATGTCCGACGTTATGTTTTATGTACAGATTGAGAGTAAAATCGATTGGCACATGTCGAATTTTCCGGTTTCCTACTGTATCAATAATATTTGGTTTTCATAAAAGTTCCTAAGCAGTTAAAATGCGATGTTACGCAAAGTTTTGCAACTGCACGGTGAAAAGAAGTTTATTTCGCATTCCGAAAGATCGTTTCTTGCGCCGCGCGTGGTTGATTTTTTGCGAGATTGATCGGGAAACCCCAGTTCATCAAAACTATGAATATGTTTCCAAAAATAATAACAACTACGTTTTACTCAGATTACAATACTCCCTATCTGTTTCTTCCATATGAGCTCTTATAAGAACAGTAAAAAATGGTTCGATTTTGACAGTTCAAATTGGTTCGAAATCCCTTACGAGTCCGCCAGACCCAGGGGACACTTAGGCCGACATTACATACATTTCCCCTATATATTTTTGATTTAAATGAACAAAATTTGGTTCCGTGTGTGTGAAGCTCTTCGTATTCTAACTTCTATGAGATATCCCAACCTTCTAAAAAGTTTCCAAAACTCCTGTAAATTCCCAAATTTCTATTAAATTCTCTCAACTATATGAAGTTCTCCAAACATTTTAAGATCTATAAATACATCCAAATAACGGCGCCGGTGGTGTAGTGGTAAGCGTGATTACCTCTCACCCCAGCAGGCCTGGGTTCATTCCCAGTCGGCGCCGCCGGGCTGTTCTGAGGCATAACATCTCTGATCACGCCTTCCTTCGGATGGGAAGTAAAGCCGTTGGTCCCCGGTTCATGAGTTGATGGGTCGATAGGTAGGGTCCAGGTGTGGGAGCTGCCTTCCTGGCACGTCGGTAGCATTGTTGCTCAGTACGGAAAACAAGATCGACGGAAAAAACAAATCAAAGGAAAAAAAAAAATACATCCAAAGAAATTGGAAACAGATTTCCATTAGTGTTTTAAATGTGCTCAGAAATAAGACATTTCGCAGCGTCGCTTTCACGTTCGTCGACGCGTTGGCAACTGTTGGCACTCAAAGCACCCACGTGCCAATGACTTGGAGAACAGGTCCAGCAATGTGAATTTGCCGTCTCTTTATTCCTGCTGTTCTTATGGATCGATGAGTGTGACATCAAACTTCTCGTTACATACCACCAGCGGGCGAATGAAAGAGACGACAAATTCATTACCAGACTTGTTATCCAAAACATTGCCACACACAAGCCACGCACAAAACGCGAAGAAAGCAGAAAGAAATCCGTCAACATTTCCAAAAGGGTGGCATTGCTTTTTAAAACAGTGGCGTCGATTTCTAATTACTAAAAGCTATTACATGTAAAGTATCGACACCATCTTTTAGATGAATGTTTTTTCTACCAGCTGGCATCGTTAATATGCAGGAGTAACCTTTTATTTACGAGAAATCGATTGTTGAAGTCATAGTTCACAAATCCAGTTTCGTCCTAATGAAATGTTAGCATTGAAAAGCAGAAGGCCTGCGAACCACTCACTAACACACCTTTAAACAACCGTTTGTTCGTTCGTATCGTCGTCGTCGTCGTCGTGTCGGTCGCTCGTTCGCGTGGGAGTTGGTGATCAAAATAGAACATTAGAAAAGTTTGCTCGTTCCGTCGCCCTCCAACATGGCACCGCCGGGTAGTAAAAACAAAAGTATTTCGGCCGCCGGCAAACGGGGCAGCACCAGTAAACAATCCAACCGGATATCGGTGTGGTCCCACTGGCAGAAACAGTATCTGAATGTGGCATTTGTGAAATCGCTTGTCTTCGATCCGGCTCGGCTGCCGCTGGTTTCCTGGCTCATCCTTGCCGCCGAACTGGTGCTGAACGTTTTTGTCGTACGCAATGTTCCGTACACGGAAATCGACTGGAAGGCTTACATGCAGGAATGCGAAGGTTTCCTGAATGGAACCACCAACTATGCCGAGCTGCGAGGTAAGTGCCGGTCGTTTGGAATCATTTTCTTTGGGCTTCAGTCAAGTGTGTTGTTTCTAAAAATAGAATTTTGCTCTAGGTGACACCGGTCCGCTGGTCTATCCGGCTGGATTCGTTTATATTTACAGTGCGCTGTACTTTATAACATCCCACGGTCAGAATATACGATTGGCTCAGTACATCTTTATTGCCATTTACTTGATGCAAATGGGGCTGGTTCTGCGGATGTACAGTAAGAGCCGGAAGCTCCCGCCATACGTGCTGGTCCTCACGACTTTCACATCGTACCGGATTCATTCGATTTATGTCCTGAGGCTGTTCAACGATCCTATTGCGATTCTGTTCCTGTACTTGGCTCTAAATGCCTACATCGACAACCGGTGGACCCTGGGAAGCGTCTTCCTGAGCTTGGGCGTTTCGGTCAAAATGAACGTCCTTCTGTTCGCACCGGCAATCTTGCTGCTGTTTATCACCAACTTGGGATACGTTAAAACGTTAATTCAATTGACCATTTGTGGCGTGATTCAATTGCTGCTGGGAGCTCCATTCCTGCTGACCTATCCGTGGGAATACCTGAAGGGAAGCTTCGATCTTGGACGAATTTTCGAACACAAGTGGACCGTTAATTATCGCTTTCTGGAGAGGGACATCTTCGAAAGCAAGGTTTTCCATCTGTCTCTGCTTGCACTGCATGCGCTGATGTTGCTGGCCTTTGTTTCCCCCTGTTACAAGTATTTGCAAAACTACTGCCGCCTAAGAAATCTGGAAGCCATGCTGGCACCGCAGATTGCCGCAAAGAATCTTGAGGTCTCTCAGGAGAAGAAGAAAAAGAAGGAAAAGCCCAAGCCTCAACCGCAAAAGGCCGAGGAAAAGCTCTCCAAAGAGCAGGAACAGTTCTTGAAATCCTTCGAAAAAGGCATCAAAAAGATGTCCGGAAAGGAGGCTACGGTTCCGGCTGTTGCCAACGGTTCCCCGGAACCGCAAGTGGAAGGACCACAACCAAGCAAATACTCTGTCCATTTCGATCGTGCCACCCAGCTGGCCCTGCTTCCCATCTTTCTGTCCAACTTCATCGGAATCGTGTGCGCTCGCAGTCTGCACTACCAGTTCTACGTGTGGTACTTCCACAGCTTGCCCTATCTGACCTGGTTCACCGAGTACAGCACCAGCCTCAAGTTCCTGCTGCTGATGCTGTTGGAGTTCTGCTGGAATACCTACCCGAGCACCGTGGTAAGTAGCCTCCTGTTGCACACCTGTCACATCATCCTGCTGGTGGGAATCGGGCGGAAAATGTTCCGCAAAATTCCGGAACTGTCGCAATTAGGCAAGGCCACCGACTGAGATTGGGCCAAGGTTTAACTTGTTTGACGATGAAGATTCTCCGAAGATGCCAAAAAGTTAATGGAACGAAACTGCATTTTGCACGATGTGCCTTTTCCCTGCGGATTCCCTGGGGGGGAATTGAAGCGTATAGAAGTTTTTGTTTCTGTTTGATCGTAGGGTTTTGTGTTTAGAGTAGTGTTTGAATATTGACAGATTTGATGCGTGTATAAAGTAATAGAGGTTTAATTTATTCGATGTGAATGGGAGGATGGTTTAAAATGTTGGAACTGAAAAGAAATCCGCTTTTAGCTTAATCTGGAAACAGTAGCTTGTTTCGCTATGCAAAGATGGTGTGGTACACACGGCATAAGAAACAATGCTCCCTTCTTTGGTTATTCATGCATTGTGCAATTTGTGAATAGTTATAGGTATTGGCTAATATTGTGCAGTAGAAAATCTTCCTTTAAACGTGAGCAGTTCTTCCAAGCCTTAAAATACCATGGAAGAAGAGTTTGGATTTTGTGAAAGAACGAGCGGCAATCAAAAGAAGGAATAATCATAGACTGTAGATGTAGTTTCAAAAATATGTCGAATCATATCGGGTCTTATTACCGATGTCACTTCACAGTGAAGTGACAACTTATCAATCACGGTGAAGTGATTCCCATTTGATTAACACGGCAATTACTTCACCGTGAAGTGACAACCGTAATAAGGGCCATCGGCTATGCCAAGTGTCCATTATGCTAAACCTACCAGGACCATGCAAAGAGCTTTTTATTTATGATCTTTTAGTACAAAGATTGAATACACAGTACTGTTATCAAAATAAGCATGGTGTCCAGCCGAAATAGCTCAGTTGGGAGAGCGTTAGACTGAAGATCTAAATGTCCCCGGTTCAATCCCGGGTTTCGGCAATTGAACTTTTTTTTACATTATTGTCGTTATAACTGAGTTACTGATGAGTTACTTTGGTTGGTTGGGGTTGAATGTAGTAGTTTTGGTTTCGACCAGTGCGAAAATATTACTGTGTAGGGTATCTGGATATCAGCAATGATTTCATTCATCATTATGAATTTTAGCCCAGAATGAAAGAGAATTTATCAAAATGTCTAGCTGTAAATGTTCATCGAATATAGATACATCCATTTAAAAAAGTAAGCTTAGAAAGTTTGGGCAGGCCTGGTGTAGGGTGAAGAACGGCTTAGAAACCAACCTAGTTGATTGGCGGGTCTGGTGCAAATATTCTAAAAACTTGTTTGGGTTTTCTCAAGACAAGAAAATTGCTACATAAATCGATAGTTAGTAACATTTATTCTTCTTTACATCAACAGCTGTATCTGCTCATTCGTAGCACATTCGGGATCTATTTCTATCAATCCTGCTCTTAAATCATCTAAAATAGTCTTCCTACGTACACTTAGCTGATCCGATAGGAGTTTTAACTCTTTGCCATTAAAAATCTCCTTACGATTCTTCATAATATCGCCTACAGCTTTCCTCAACAGTAAATCCACCTTATGAACCACCGATTGTTCGACAGGTTGCTTCTCAGCTTTCGTCTCCAACGGACTTTCAGGATTGTTGGCACAGTTCAAGATCGCCTGTTCAAGTTGTTCGAATTCCAGTGAGTTCCCCAGTAGTTCTAACGTGTTTCTTTCCCATTTGTAGAACCGCCAGCTTGGCTGTTCCAATTTAATCCACATTCGTGAAATGATTTCCTCCGGAATGGGGTTCGGTCTACTGGCATTTCTTGCTTTCGCCTCTGCGAGTGGAACGTCGAAAAGCGACTGTAAATATCCCATGCCATGCTTACGGGCAAGACTGAAGGCTTCATAGCGCATGCTTCTGTAGTACATGTTATCGTCGAGAAAAATTGCGTAAATGTTGCCACTGGCAGTGGAATCTAGATCTATGGAAATATTTGCGTTAAATATCTTAGTTAACTCTTCATTCACTTGATCGACACAAGTTTGATCGTTAAATTTGATCCCCTCGATTATTTTCCCAAGCGATTCCAGAAGTTGTCTTCTCTTTTCCTTGAAGCATCCGTTTTCCAAATCGAATGTATCTTCTATTTTTATAAGCCTATCGAAACAAACATGAATCAACCTAGCAGGTGAACGCTTTTCCAGCAAATATGCCTGAAAACCTTCGCAAAATGTCGTCTTTCCAGCACCTGGAATCCCTATCAATACGTGCAAACAAATTTTATTCATCGCAACTATTTAACGCTCTACAATCAACCTAACCCTAAAAAAAAAAAACCAACCCAATTAAATCACCGAATCCACTACCGTCGTTTCCAACTTCCCACTGTCCGTTGCAGCCGGTGATTCGGTCGCACTGGCCGGTAGCGTCAAACTTGCATCAGCGGTCGGTGCTAGTTCTGCCACTTGAGTCTGCTCTTGCTGTTTCTGGGCTTCCTGCAGTTTAGCCTGTTGGGCCTCAAACTCTACCATCCTCCGTTGGTTCAGGTCGGTTTGGACGCCAACATACACTTTCATCAGCCGTTGGTTGACGTTGGAGAACTTTGCGACGCAGTTGTCCGTACAGCGGAGCTCGTCACTACTCAAATCCCGTCCGAAGAAGTTGTCCACACAGGACTTAAAGCACAGCTCCGTTACTTGGTTGTACAGTGTGAGGAAGTCCTTCAGCTGGATGCCGGGATAGGAAAGTGTTAGTTTGATTAACTAGACTAGACTAGACTAGAAAGGTGTCTCACATTTCTCAACTCAAAATCCATGTTTTTTGGCTGGATTTTCACTTAAAGTTTGATTTAAGAATTTGATGATGAAAAGTTATTCAACAGCAGGTTCGGTCGAGGATTGTTTACATGTTGGAGTATTTGACAGTTCGGCGGATCACATGTTTTTCGTGAGTGCCCACCGGCGCTACTCACAGGGTGGTGTAGAACGAACTGTGCACGCGAGTGCTCACGAGAAGGCCGACTAGCAGCGTTGCCAGATTGTTTTCAAGCTTATCGACATGAAAGGTTTAAAAAAATCGGTATTTATCGGTATTTACTATTTTATTTTATATTTTTGCCGTTTTCGAAGGCGGAAATTTAAACTTTTGGATTAAGAATGGCTTTTCCAGAAAAGTCGGAATTTTTTGCGCAGAATGTTTTAATTAGTTTCTGAAGAAATCCGAACAAACTTCCAGAAATAGAAACATTGGAGAAAGTTTAAAGAAAATTCCAAGAAAAATCGGCAAAGCATCCGGGGTACTTCCAAGAAAAATGCTGAGAATTTTCTGGGAAAACTTTAAAGAAATGTTCGGGAAAAAATCGGATGACACATCCAGAGGAAGCCAATAAGGTTTCGGAAATCGAAGAACATTTCATGAATAGCCATTTCCAAGGGAAGCTAGAAGAAGCTCGGAGAATCCTTCGAATAGAAGCCGAAAAAAAAAACCTCCGGAAGAAGCTCAAAGAGAAACTTCTAGAGCATGGTGGGTATATAAATGGTGATACAGCTTTGTCACTATATAGGCGAGGAGGTCGCGAGGGGGAAAAGTGCGGTTTTAGTGCAAATTGTAAACAAACTCGGTCGCTGTCGCATACAAAAATCCAACATGGCTGAATCATGAATTTGACACATTAGAACACCTATATGTAGTCACCTTGTTGTAGAGGAAGACCCGAATCTTCTGGGAGAATTCGATTGGCGTCTTGCAGTGAAACTTTTCCATGCTTTCGCCACCTACATTTCGAAGTGAGAACTACTAGAAGGAGGATAGTTTCCAAATTCTTCAAGTAAAACAGACGATTTTTGGGGCAAATCGGTACATAAAGAAAACCTAATAATTTCCCGTGGAAACTTTTGCTTGAATCGTGTAAGAAAATGTGTTTGCGAACTAACTGTTATTATTTCGGTATGGATCGGAGATGTTTTCATGGAAAATTATGCATAACAAGTTTGCACCCACAGGGAGAGGTTACCTCCTGCGCAGCGGCATTTTTCGGAAAATGGTGAATATGTGCGATTTCCACTAGGATGAAAGTGGAAATTAAGTGAATTTACTTAGGAAAGGTTGTATCATGCTGATGGTAATGGAGATTGGTTGTATAGAACGCCAATGTTCAATAAATGTTCATTTTAGCCTTTTGTTAGCAAACATATTGATGCTCACAATTTTCGACAGAAAACGCACCGGAACTTGATTTACTCAACACGCACCATACTATAAAATGGTGCTAGATGGTCTTCAAAGTGATAGCAAGATGACAAATCATCTCTATTTTGAGTAATTGAGCAATTTACTTCTGTTTACATCATATTTACGATGCAGCATTGTTAGAGCCGCGAAATGAAATGAATATATCTTATGAAAGTTCAACTGGAAAAGTCAAAGTTGCACATCAGTCTGATCGTAAAAACGTTTTCTTCTGCAATTCGAATGTTATATTGGAAGAATTTTACACAGGCTTGATGAAAATTATGATTTAACGCTAATTTTCACGAATTTTATATGCAGTCTGTCAACATTATCATCATCATGCAGTGGCGACATCTGCGTTGAGCTTTTACGGCAATCTTCCAATAGATACCCGAAAAAAAAAAAATTATTATAATAAAACAACGAAATTACAATGATTTTTACTGTTGAATTTTGAGTACATTAAAATTTATTGTTAAATTATTGGGGGAGGTTGTTCATTAAAACTTCTGGTCCGCTTCGTAGCATAGTGCTTGCTAAGAGGTGCCAGGTGGTAACCCACTAATTACCTGACGATCGGCCAAATTTGGAAGACGATCTGCATTGAATTGTCTCACATTGTAATATTCCGCCCACTAATATCACAATCAATTGCGAGTAGCTGAGCGGAATGGAGACAAGGAAAGCATTTGGTACAGGACCAAGTCTCTCCCGGCTGGCGCCAAAACAATGAACCTGGAAGCAACTGGATCAAGTTGTCATGGGGCACGAAATGATCCTGTTGCATGGCTTGGAGCTGTTGCAATCGAGGAACGGGGGAAGGGGGGGGGGGGTGATGCTAATGTTTAATTTGTTTTTGTATAATTTCAGGTGTTAAGGTGGTTCGCTGCCTCTGGATAGTGGGTTTGACGGTGGTTCAGCAAGAATAATATTGAGACATGCGGGAATGCGACAAACGTGTCAAATTAACTGCATTTGTAACGAAAACACAGAGGAGCGTACACCTGATGTCACACACTAAGGTGATGGTAATAAGGTCGGTGATAATATGACATTTACACAAAAGCGGAGATCAAATCAGATTGGTCAACGTACCAAAATTCGAAACTTCGATTAAAACGTGGAATCTGTGCAGCACCAGTGGAGAACACTCAAAAGCTGCAGGTCTCATCAACCGCTGCCTGCGGTATATAACTTGTGGCTGGTGGCCTCACAAATGGATCTCAGATGTAAATGTCATCAGAAGCCGATAGAAATAGAAACGAAGTCTGCAGGCAAGCGTTTGATTATGAATTAAATCCACCAGAACATCGCAGCAAAGGCAAATACTAAGGCGGCGGAGCGTCAACAAGGAAATTAAGCAAGCCGATAGGGATTTGACCTGGACCCAGGTCAAGCAGCTGCCCAGAATGGAAGTCTTTCACGTTGGCCCTGTGCACCTCTTGAGGTTCCCAGGTATTTGAGTACGACGACGATGGACGTTGCCCCTTGGAACGGAATGAAAGCGAACAAACCTGATGTTGCACAACAAGCCGGCGTGTTTTTTTTTTTTTTTCAGCAGAACAACAAAATCCTCTATCTCTCTTCTTTCCCCTAATCGGACGCTAGTGGGACCAAAAAGCCTGCTAGTGAAAGGAAAATCGTTATGCTATACGGTCTAGCATAGGCTACGACTAAATTTCCGCAGGTTCATGCCTGGCTTAAGTGCAGATCAGTAGGCAGCAGCCTGCCAGGGTGTGAACTGAGCAATAACAATAACAACAATTAAAATTTTTTGTTAAATTATTGTACGGGAGAAAAAATAGTTTTCGATTTTTAACGATACAATGCTCAAACAACGAAAATTAGTGTGATGAGATCAAATTTGTTCGGGAAAAATCACTTTTTTATATTGTTAAGATGCTTAACAACCCCCCTTTTTAACTGTAAATTTCTCAAATACCATGATTTTCATTGTTGTGAACCATGAATTTAGTTGTGATTTTCCGGTAATGGACAAAAATGTCCAATGTTTTGGCAGTAAATATCATGATTACAATGACAATAAAAACTCATGTTATTTTATTGGATTTTTTTTTTACGGATACTGACGCTGGAAGAAACCTCTTGAGGTAGTTGGGAAGAAACGGAAGAAACTTATGAAGAAAGTCAGAAGCTTCATCAAGCGGAAACCAGAGGGTTTTTGGTACAATCGAAAGAAACCTCTAGGAGAAATTGTGGGCAAACAAATTCCGGAAGAGAGAGATTTCTGTGGAATGTCCAAAGAAATTTTCGTCGGAAATCGGTAGATTCTTCTACGGCAAGCACATTACTCAGTTTGGAAAAACTGACACGATAAGACGGAAGATTCTTTCAAGCGAAGCCAGAAGAAGCGAGAGATGTCGGTATAATTTTCTAGGAGGAATCTGAACATAACATACGGGGTAAGGGAAAGAAAATTCCAGGGGGAAGTTAGAATAACTTCTAAGGGAAGATTGAATAAACTTCAGAAAGTTATAAAATTAACATTTTGATGGACCTTTTCGGTAACAAAAACGTTAAAAGTATTTCTCGATTCCCAGGAATTCCGGGATGAGTCATCAACTGTTTCCTAATTCCTGTGTAGCCGGAAACGCCGAGGAAACGGAAATACTAATCGAAAGAGTATCAAGCAGAAGAAATATTCAAAGATGAGTAATTGTTTGAGCATCTTAAGAAAATTGACATATTCAAAAAGATATGTTGACATTTTGATTATTTGAAAAATCGATATAAATCGGTATAAAATCTCAATATCGGTATCAAGTTCGAAAATCGGTACAAATACCGATAAATCGGTATATCTGGCAACGCTGCCGACATGTACTGCAAAGAGTTTTTTTTTTTAAATGAGTTGATTTTCCTTGCTATACATAGTCAACTCTCCATTATTCGATAAGGGGAGGGGCATAATGATAACTTTAAGCCTTGTACACATTTGTTTGTGACTTAATGCAACAAAATTTAAAATTTAATACTTCTATTGGCAAATCAAAGTTGGCACTTGTGGAGAATAGAAGAACTATGAAAGTGATGATGGTTTCAAAATTTTCCACGGGGAAGAATACGAGTGCAGTCTTAAAATGCTTTTATTTTGAAAATGGCGCATTTTATTTAAATCTGGTTTCTGCTACAGTGGTAGAAAAGCTGAAATCTATGTCTCCACATAAAAATCTGTAAAGAAATTATTTTTTCTATAGTATATGTCTTTTGAGTAGTCCTTTAGTTTTCTACTAAGGTAACATTAACCAGATTTAAATAAAATGCTCCATTTTCAAAATAAAAGCATTTTAAGACTGCACTCGTATTCTTCCCCGTGGAAAATTTTGAAACCATCATCACTTTCATAGTTCTTCTATTCTCCACGAGTGCCAACTTTGATTTGCCAATTGGCAAATCAAAGTTGGCACTCGTGGAGAATAGAAGAACTATGAGAGTGATGATGGTTTCCAAATTTTACACGGTGAGGTATACGAGTGCAATCTTAAAATGCTATTATTTTGCAAATTGAGCATTTTATTTAAATCTGGTTGCGCTACAGTGGTAGAAAACCTGAAGTCTACACGGATAGAAATCTTCTTATACCTTTTGGCAAATTTATATTGCTGATTATTTATAAAATGTATAAGTCAACTAAT